ATATACATGGGCATTTGCTAAAACTTAAGCCAGACCTGGTGGCAGTACTTGGCTGAAACATGAAGACTTCAGCTTCATAGGCCTGCCTCATACTACAGAGTAAACTCAACGCCAGCCTGGGCAATTTGATAAGACCCTGTTGCAAAATAAAAAGTAAAAAGAGTGTCAGGGACACACCCACCTCAGTGGTAGAGAACTAGCCGATTAGCATGCATGAGGTCCTGGGCTCAGTATGCCTCAGTACAGGAGGAAAAAGTAATTCAATAAAGAAAAAAAAAAAAAAAGACTCAGTAATAGTAAATTCCAGTCTTGTTCAATTAATTTCTAAGTTTAGCATTGTGATCTCAATCATAATCCTAACAATGGCTTTGGTGGAAGCTAACCGGCTGATCTTCAAGGGCTTCTAGCTAACTAAATAAACATGTGACAGGCGGCCCCGCCCCATCCTAATACATAAAAGGATAGGCCATGAAGATTTAAAACGTAGCATTGTTCCAAAAATAGATCAAAAGACTACCCAAACAAGAGACAGTTTAGAAAGACTTACTGTACAGTTGGAAAGTTCGTGTAGGATAACCCTGGCATATTAAACCAGTGGAGAGATGAGGGAGGCTAAGTGAGCTGAAGCAAGAGCCCTCTCCTGAGATGGCCCCCAGAGCACACGAGACACAGGGCACACCATCAGTCAAATATGAAAAGGTGTAAGTGTGAAAAACTAATGTGCAGAGTCATACTGTAAGACGACAGAGAACATCTAGACTGGAGACAATCACATCAGCACAACACTCACAAACGCCTCGGAGATGTTCCCCCCCACACACATCAGTTTCGCACAGCAAACTACGGAGTATTACGTGATCATGGAACAGAAATCGCTTAGTATTTATGCTAAGTTAATGTCCCTAACAGAACTCCCAGGCAATAAGAGAGAGATGAAGAATTGAAGTGGAAAATAGAAAAGAATGCTAATGAGCAACTTATATAAGAAAAATGTAACCACCACCTCATTCAGAAAAATAAATGAGATTCGGTTCAAGCCGTTGTCGGAGACAACTCGGAAACTCACAGGAGGATGGAGACTGTGTGTTCGACACAGACCGGCCGAGTTTTAAAGTGGGTAATGCTTGGGTGGGGGAGAGGACTCAGCTCTCATACTTTCACTTTTTAGCATCTGTTTGTCTGTCTATGTCTGTCCACTGCATGGGGGGTGGGGGTTGGCGCATGCCACTGTGGACACTATAGGATGTATTCCCACTCCCAGTTTCTTCCTTTGTAACCAAACCCAGGGCTTTCCTGTGTGCGGCTGAGCATTCGGCCAACTGAGCTACACTGCAGCCAAAGGAACGGATTTTTTAAAGACTTTTAAGCATGTAATTTTGCAGCACAGGTGACCATATATCAAGTATGTGTTGTTATATTAAGAATATAAAGAATATCCGTTACATATTCTTTGAACTGACAATTCCACTTTCTTATTTCACCTAATACATTAAGGACAACATTGTGGGATATCTACTGCAAAGGTCTGCTGCTGTGGGATGTTCTGTATGGCAAATGTGTTGCTCTGATTGGTTAGTAAATAAAACACTGATTGGCCAGTAGTCAGGCAGGAGGAAGTATAGGTGGGACAAGGAGGAGAAGAATTCTGGGAAGTGGAAGGCTGAGTCAGAGTCACTGCCAGCTGCCGCCATGACCAGCACCATGTGAAGACTCGGGTAGGCCACAAGTCATGTGGCAAGGTATAGATTTATGGAAATGGATTAATTTAAGTTATAGGAACAGTTAGCAAGAAGCCTGCCACGGCCATACAGTTTGTAAGCAATCTAAGTCTCTGTGTTTACTTGGTTGGGTCTGAGCGGCTGTGGGACTGGCAGGTGACAGAGATTCGTCCTGACTGTGGGCCAGGCAGGAAAACTCCAGCTACAGTCTGCAGTACAATGGTGGAAATGCTACACAGCAACACAACACTGCAATTCCACCCAACTCCACGTGCAGAAATTTCAACTCCTACCTTACCAGGGTGGAATGACTTGTGTTACATCTTACTTCTCAATTTGTATGACACAAACAATCAAGTCATTAAAACCAAGATTATCACTGGGCGGTGGTGGTGGTGCACGCCTTTAATCCCAGCACTCGGGAGGCAGAACCAGTCGGATCTCTGTGAGTTTGAGGCCAGCCTGGTCTACAGAGCGAGATCCAGGACAGGCACCAAAACTACACAGAGAAACCCTGTCTCGGAAAAACAAACAAACAAACAAACAAACAAAAAAAAAAAAACAAAAAACAAGATTATCAACTCTAGCCTCTAGAAAAGAACCTCATCCAATGTCTGCTTTTGTAAACATATTTTTATTTGGCCACCCCACACCCTGCTCATTTGTGTTTACAATGGCTGCTCTTGTCTCACAGTAGCCTTATAAGCCTAAAATAATTACTGTCTTATCCTGTTAAAGAGAACGTTTGCTGACCCCAATTAAGGGGTCAATTGTGGGTGAAGACAGTAATAATTCACATGAAGTTTTAACGAGAAGTGTCAGGATGTCAGCCACGGTGAGGAGTGACATCACCACCACTGCTTCATTAGCATATATGTCAATCAACCCTCACTGTAGACCGACATTAGCTCATCAGTAACGTGGGAGGCTACACCACTGAACTGGACGGTAATTCAGCACCTATCTGTGGGCATCACAGCCGCTCTGCAACCATGGCTCAGCTATAAAACCTTCGGCACTGGTCATTGACAGCATTCCATGGGAACTGTATGGGCAGAATTGTAAGAAAACATGCTGGGCATTCACTGTTTGTATACCATGCACTACAGACCCACTGCAGCCACACATCTTAGAAGAAGCACAGATGCCACTGTCTATCAGAATGATTCCAGCCCCCGACCCAGACACCAAAATCCACAGGTGGTCGGGTCCCGTATGTAAAATGGCACAGTGGTTACACAGGAGGCACACCCCACCCCACCCCACCCCACCACCCCCCGTGAACTTTAACCCTCCCTGTCACGGGTTCCTGACAGGAGCTAACACAAGCGGCTGTGCTTAGAGAATAATCAGTCTGTGCATGCTCAACACAGACGGCACGTCTTCCCAAAGCTTTCTGGCCATGGTGTTGAATCCACAGACGTGGGAGCCACAAAGGGAAGGCTGACTGCCTGCTATCTACACATCCACTTTTCCAGAAAGCTAGGTGGTTGTGACACACGGTCTGGCACTCTCTGATGACTCACATGCAGTCACTAGGCTCTGAGAAGTGGCTAGCCTAGGCTGACTCTGCTGTGGCAATAAACATGCCCAGATTCCG